CCCCTGATGTTCAAGGGCCAACTGAACCCCTAGACACATCAGTTATTATAGCTGATATGTCCAAGTAAAACTCTCTTTGAGTTCTTCCTACCCAGGGTTTTTTTTTTTTTTTTATCCCAGGTTCTTTGATCTGTGGCTCAGTATTTTTCATCAAACGTGGCAAGTTTTCAGCCATTGTCTCTTCAAATCTTTTTTTGCCTCAGTCTCTCTGCTTCTTCAGGGATTCATTACCTTTAGGTTTGTATGACTGAGTATCCACAGGGCTCCGAGGCTGTGTTTATTTCCCTTCAATCTTTTTTCCTCTTTATTTTTCAGAAATATACATTCTATTGATCTGTATTTAGGTTTACACATTCTTTTTTCAGCATCTCAAGTCTATTGCTGAGCCCAGTTAGTAAATCTTCAGTTATTATATTTTTCAACTCCAGAATTTCCTCTTTTTTAAATGACTTCTATTTATTGAGTCTTCAGTTTTCATGTTTTTCTTTAATTCTTTGAAAAATATATATATAATAGCTGCTTTGAAGACTGCAAAATCCAACATGTGGGCCCACTCAGAACCAGTTTCCTCCTATTGTTTTCTTCCTGAGCACGGGAGTCACTTTTTCAGTTTCATGGCACATCTTGTAACTTTGGGTTGAAAACTGGACGTGTTTCATATAATTTAACAATTGTGGAATCTGTTTTATTTTCTTTTTTAGTAACTTGCCTAGACCTAAACTAGAGAATCTGTTTCCCTCGTGGTGCGCAGTCACTGACCTTTGCTCAGTTTCGTGATGGGTGGGTGATTTGGACAGAGGCTGCACTCAAACCTCTGGGGTTTGTAGGCTCTGTTTATCGGTCTGTGTGTAGGTTGTGGAGTAAACACAAGGTTGCAATCAGTTCTCAAGTTTCTCCTCACTTTGGTTTTACATGGGGCACTTTCAGATCTTCCCGCACAAACACAGATTTCCAGCCAGGACTCTGTGAAGAGCGATTTCAGCCCTGCTCATTTCCTGGGTTGCCCCAGTAACTATCTTATTTGGTTCACCTCTCGCCACACTTGGGAATAAAACACCAGCCTAAGAATGCTGTGAATATTACCTGTAAATTCCCACATTAGTCCACCATCTGTTACTGTCTGTTGTCTATTTTGTTTTCTCTCTCAGTTTCTCTTTATTTGGTGTTGCCTCCTGGTTATTTTTTTATTGAAAGATAAAAAAATATTAGAAAGATAATTTCATGTTCTGAATGGTGCTCTCATTTCCATACTTTTGGCAGACAGGTAGGCAGGCAGGGGCAGATCACTTTAATCTAATTGGAAACCAAACTGATTCAATGATGGGCTTTTTGGAGGCTGGTCTCTTTCAAGTTTATCCCTACTCTAAAGGTCAAGCTCTTCAAAGTTCCCAGCTGAAAGCCTGGACATTTCCCAGGGCCCCTCTATGATGGGCACTAAATTCCAATGTTTTCCCCCAGCTCCATGGAATTGCCTGAGCTTGTACAACCTATGAGCCTCTGATCTGCTGATTTTTGTTGCTCGTGATTTGGCAAATGCTTCAAGGGTAAAAAATACTGAGATGTTGGGCTCTCTCTCTGGCCCTTGACCCCTCAAGTTCTCGCTGCCTTTATGACTCACATGCACACACACAGAATGTGGAAATACATAGTAGAATGTCAGCAGAGGGAAGAAATGAGGTCCAGAAGATTCGATAATGGTTGTAAGAAGAGATGCAGGTATCTGTATTTTATCTTCAAAAACAGTTTCCTTTGAGCCTCTTTAATACCTTTTAGAGCTAGAGTCAACAGAGAGGAGCTCTTAACCCAGCCCCGCCTCTCTAAAGAAAAATTTTAATTTTAGTTGCTATAAAATTATACTAACAATGATCTCTCTCTCTCTCTCTCTCTCTCTCTCTCGATTGTTTTGATAATGAAATAATAGCACTTTTGTCAAAATTAACATGTTTCTGTATATACTTCGTGCAGGCTCTGGGCTAGATCTTCCGCTTATAACATTCACTTTTAAAAAATGTATAAAGTGCTGAGTATATTCACAGTCATAAAAATCTTTTTTAGCCAGCTACTATTCATAGCAGGGGACCAAAGGCTTTCTTTAAGGAGCAGTTCTATCTCTCAGGTGTAGAGCCTGGAGTATTAGGAGATGTGCCGAATGGGACATTTCTCAAGCACCATGGAAGATTTCCAGCACCCATGTACCTCTACCTGTGAAGGTCCAGGTAAAGCCCATGCGGAGCTGTAGCTGCAGCAGCCATCCTAGAATTGGGGTCAATCGCAGGCTCCCATCTGGGATCCTTGCGGCAAAGGGCTGATTACCCAAGATGCCATCCTCCCATTTCACCTTGATGACCTCCTTCCAGTAGCAGCCTTGATCAGGTATTGGATGGCAAACAATGACCCATGGGCCAAATCCATCCTCTGCCCCTTTTGTTATGACCTGTGGGCTAAGAATAGTTTTACGTTTTTATATTCTTTTTTCTTTCTCATGTGGATGTCTAGATCTAGCCTATTTTTCTCCATTGTGGTGCTTGTGCTCTTCTGTCAAAAGTCGGTTGACTCTATTTACCTGAGTCTATTTCTGGGGTCTTTATTCTGTTCCGTGGATCTCTTTTGTGTGTTCTTCTGCCAATGCCACGCAGTAACTTTACAGGAAGTCTTGAAGCTGGGTAGTGTCAGTCCTCTGACTTTGTTCTTCTCCTTTGACATTCTGTTGGCTATTCTGGGTCTTGTCCCTCTCCATAGGAACTTGAAAATCAGTTTGTTCACATCCATGAAGGCTTTTACACTTTTAAATGGTTGGGAAAAATAAGAAAAAGAGTATTTCATGACACCTGAAGACTAAATTCAGATTTTAGTCTCCGTAAAGTTAATTTGTTTACCTACTGTGTATGGCTGCTTTCACGCTACGACAGCAGAGCTGAACAGTTAAGACAAAGACCACATGGTCTGCAAAACCTAAAACACTGACTATTTGGCCCTTCACAGGACAAGTTTGCCGACATCTGGTCTAGGTCTTAGGCTGTGACATACACTTAGCCTGTGGGGTATAAGGACAGCCCAGGTAACCAGACTGCCTGTTTTCCAATCCACCACCACCATTTGCTAGACGTATCACCTTGAAACTGTCACTTTAACTTTTCTGGGCCTGTTGCTTATCTGTAAAATGGCGGTAATGGCATTTATCTCAGAGATTTCTAAGGATTAAATGAGTTACTTTGTATAAGTGCTTAGAATGGTGCCTGCCTAGCACATAGAAGCTGCATTTAAGTGTTGGCTTCCATATACATTTTTTAACCTGGCTTAGAAAGAATATTACCAGAATAGTCTCAAATCTCTGCCCTGCTAATTTATCTATTCCACTACTCCCAGAGTGATAATCATCTAAAAATACACCTTACCCTGTCTCTTCAAGGACCAGTCATGGCTTGCAATTGCTCATGGAGTAGGCTGACATTTGAAGCTCCACAGTCCGGCTGCTCCTGGCTGTGCAGCCTTATCTACCCTGCCCTTCCTCCCCTCCCTCTAGTTACAAACCCTGTGCTCCAGCCTTTTTCAGCACTCTGTGTTTGTCCACAGCTCTGTGCCTTCCCATCATGTGGTTCTTTCTTCCCAGAAAGCTTTCTTCTGGGAATTTAAGGTCACTGAGATCTGCGGGCAGGTCACAACCATCATTCCTTTGTTATGAGTTGCAATGTGGAGATCAGTACCTTGATCTCACAGTGGGCATGAAATGGAAATATACCCTCACTCCTCATGAAGCTCCAGATAAGTTTTTTTCGGGGTCAAAAAGTAAAACTGCAGAAGAAGGCTGGGGTGGAAAAGAAATCAAGCCCTCTCCCCAAGTCAGCCCTCCTGTGGCATTGTCCAGGACTGGGTGGGGGTTCTCACACAGTATGCCCTTTCAAGGTGTGTGCACCCTGGGCAGAGAACTATGTGGGGAAAAGTCCGAGGGAGCAAGGGACCCAGATCTCTGATTACGTATCAGTATCATAAAGGGATCATGAAGCTGGTAACATCAAGATTATGTAAGCATGAAAAATGCTCATGATACAACATTAAAGGGAGCCTGCAGGATGCAAAATTGCATCCACATTGATTACAGCAGAATGGAAAGAGTGCCTGGTCAGGAGCCTGAAGCTTCGAAGGCACAGCAGTGTGAACAAATGAGATCACTTTTGGCTGCAGGGGGAGTGACATTGTGGGTGATTTTCTTCTTTTTTTGCTTCCTTTATTTAGTGGGCTGTGAATCATACTATACTATTATTTCACAGTTAAACTAAACATTTTATGGGAAAGCTCATTGGCTTGTACACTAAAAATGAAGCTTTTATTGTACATAAATTATACTTAAACAAGTCAAAATGAAAAGTAAATGTTTTAAAAGAAGGGCCCAGAGTAAACTGGGATGAAGATAATGTCTTTGTGGTCTCCCTACCTGCCCTTTCTTCCCTTTCACCTCACATCTGGCCACCATATACATTTTTTATCTTGACTTAGATATCCTTGAGATAGTCCCTGTCCAGCCATTATGTACAGTCAGGGCCACTGAGAACCCTTCTTCTTCCAGAATTCGAAGAACTTCTAGGTTAGCTCTTCTAAGTTCACATCACCCTTCAGACTGTTCTGGAGTGTCCTTTGCCTTCCCTGCTTTCCCCAAACGAAAGCAGCTATTTGTCTGACATTACCTTCCCCAAGAGTTCTACCCTTTACTAAGGAACCACTGAAGGAATCGGTGATAATGTGCTCATGCATGATATAAAGTTATTACAGACCCCTCCCAGATAACAGTTCCGTGTTTCTACCTGGAGAGCCTGCCTCAGCAGGCTGCATTAATGGAAGCACAGTGTCACAAACAATGGAGGTGATAGCTGGAGGAATGGAATCTGGACTTTCCTAACACAAGAGGTACCACTGAGGTGGGCACATAGGTAGGGCCGGAAGCTGCAAATCTGGGTGAATTTAATTCCAGCCAAATAACCTGAACTATTTTTGCTTTCTCTTAGGGACCACCCAGGCCCATACCTCTGCTGGAGGGAACGCATTGGAAGAGCAGCTATGGCCAGAGGTGAGGGCTTTGTCCTTATGGTGGGGCGGAGGGGTGGGTGGTCCTTTCTAGTGGGTGAATCCAACTCTTCATGCAGGTTATCAGGTCCCTCCCTGCAGCCTTGACAGAACGAGCTGGAGGAGCTGTTACTCCAGGGGCAGTCAGCCTGCCTGGCACACCAGAGGTGGCATAACTATCTCCTGGAATTTGGGGCTCATCATCCCTGCAGACTGAGCCGTGTTCCCAGAAGTGTCCAGAAAGAGTTATAAATGGGCTTGTTATCTCTGTGGCCCTTGAAGCAGATGCTCTGAGTTATTTGAAGTCATCTGAGCAAGGTCTTCCCAGAACATCCACAAGATAAGAGTTGAGAGTAAATGCTGTATGTCTTACTGAAATCAGTGATTCACGAGAAATTAACTTGTGTCTTGCAATAGCAAGATGTGGTCGAGCACCTCATTTGTTGTGCATCCTCCGCCGTTGGAGTATTTCCCTTCCACTCTCAGTTCTGGGGAGAAAACATATGATCTCCCTTCCCAAACCCCTCCATGTGATTCTCAGAAGCAGAGGCTGCTCTGGGCTTGTGAGAGCGTGTGAGGAGCCCAGATGGTCCTGAGGACCCGAGAGCTGGCCTCCCAGTCCTGCCTCTGCCCTCAGCAGGCCCTGTGGACTCAGGTCACACTGACCCAGTGGGGCGCAAGAGTCTCCCGGTTTCCAGTTTACCCAGTTTTCAGCAGCAAATAAACATGCTTCCTATACCTGCTTTTGTATAAATAATCAAGTTTAAAGAGGCAAAGTGGATCATATAAAAAATAAAATAGCATAGAATGGATTTTTTAACTTTCTAGTCTAAATGTACTGGATCTCTTCTTAATGATTTCATTTTTATTGTGGTAAAAAAATCATAAAACTGACCATTATAACCATTTGTGGGTGGATAATTCAGTGGCATTGGGCACATTCACACTGCTGTGTAACCTTCACTGCTGTCCCTCTCATAACTTTCTCATTATCCCAAGAACTGATTCTTTTTCTTCTTTATCATCTTCTCTTCCTGCTATTCTGAGGCATCCTTACCTGCCACCTGCTAAAATCATGGTCAATGGACACATGTCCCCTTTCACTAGAAGAACTGGGTACAAGGTTGGAGCAATATGGCGATAGACAACGGTTACCTCTGGATTTTGAGCCTAGATAGCACAAATACCTGGTAATTTCTGTACCAAGCTTTCAGGACCTAAAGTTTTCTCATACACGGCAGTTCATGTTTCTGATGTTTGGTTTCAGTTGCAGACACTGAAGAATTTTCCATTCCAATGCAACCAAAAGAGGCTGGGATCCAGCGAGCCTTCTACGTCAGGTATGTGACCCAGAGCAGTGAAGCTGTGGGCTGGGAAGGCTGGCCTCTCTCTGATGTGTCCGGCAGAGGCCCCAACCTGACTCTTACTGCACCCTTTGGGGGATGTGGGTCTGCCCCTTCCATTTGGCATCCTTGGCCCATTCGTGGGGAATGTAAATCTGACCCTACATGGGTTCTTGTCTTTACAGTCCACTCACTGAGACCATCCGATATTAAATTTGTGGCAGCCATTGGCAATGTGGAAATTGTGAGTATTTCAAGAAGATGGAGATGGGAGGCAGGGTTCGGGGCTGGTGACCCTCGGAATGAGCTGCTGATAACCAGGCTGAAAGTTTCATTTGGGGAAAGAAGAACATTCTCTGAGTTGGAGAAATCCTAAAATCTAAGGGGTTTTGAATCCTTTTTTTTGTTTTTAATCAAATGAATGCTTCCCTTTATGTAAGGGTGAGGAAACTTTTGGAGTTTCTCATTAATAAACTAAACCTATTGATAAATAGTCAAAAAATCACACAATTTAAAAGTAATCTCTTAAACTTTGGAATTGTGAATAAATACTTATGAGGAAAAAAGTCTTTATCTGGTAAATTTAAAAAAATACACTCATGTTTGCTAGTAAATTTTGAGTGGTATATTTTATATGGTCAGGAAAAGGGGGAAGGAAGTCTTATATAAGAAGAGAAAGATGGAAAAGGAGGGGAGAGAGGGGGATGAACAGAAAGAGGAGCGTCTGGAGAGAAGGGGATGGGAGAACAGAGAGGGATGCCCGTGAGATTCCCCAGTCCGTTCTGGCTTCCCCCAGTCCCACCTGCCTGGTGTTAGGAAGGGTCCCAGAGCTCAGCCGGACCTCCACACTGGACCCAGGTCATTCCCCTCCTTTCCAGTGTCTTCCTCCCATCTCCACCCACCCGTGTCCTTCCAGCGTCCCTCCCCTGTCCCTGCTGCAGCCCCCGCCCCCTGCCCTGTGCACAGTGCCGCTAGAGAACTGACCACAGCAGGCCCCATGAGGCCGGGCAGGCAGGGCTTCCTGCCCGGTTTTATTCTACCTGTGATGGAGGTGGTAAAGAAGCCCAGTGGCTGTGTGTTGATGAGGGTGACCGTGGGGGTTTGCCAGCAGGAAGGATGTGCAAGGGGAGGTGGGATACACCTGTCAGGGGTTGCACTTTGGCTTCGCTGAGCCCTGGCGGCTCTGTGCGCTGGTGGTTACATCCCAGAGCCCGGGAGGTGTGACCCTTGCTGGAGGACTCTCTTCATCTCCTATTCTTCCACCATGAGCAGGGACACCCACTGCAGGGAAGGCTCCACCCCAAGTCAGGTTTCTAAGCTTAAACCCATCAAGGACTTGCCCACCTTGGGCAAGTCCCAGCCCCGAAAGAGCTCTCCCTCGTGAATTATGCAGAGCCCGGCTCAGCCTGTCACTCAGCTCACCCTCCCTCCTTCCCGTGAACTGGAGGCCCCTGGCGCTGGGATAGGCTGCAGCTCACGAGTGTCTCCCCACCCCAGAGTCATTGTCATTGCACCGATGGGCGCCACATCTTCAGGATAAAACCTCAGTTCCTGAAGGGCTGCCTCCCTCTGCCCTGAGGCATGGCATTCATGAACTTAGCCTGGTTTATTAAAAAAACATCAGGCCAGGGAAAAATAACAGGAGACAGAAGGCTTAAAAAGAGAAAAAAAGTCCATAATGCAATGGTTTTGCTTTGAGTTCCTGGAGCTCTGGGTAACCAAGGCAGAATCTCCAGTGATTGTAACTGGCACTTTACTCTGGATTCCCTTTTCCTCATAGAACTTTAAAGACCAGGTTTATAAATGCTCATAAAAATTATTTTCAAACTAACACTTGTGATACGTGTTTAATATAAGGAAAAAAATCACATAAGACACATGGATCTAGTCTAAAAAATGAGAGATGCCATTCACATCTATACTCCTGCCTCACCCCACTTCCCCCCAACATGCAGAGCGAGAGAGCCTGCGGAGCGTATGACCTAGGAGGGCCCCCCTGCAGCATACTATCTGTGACTTGCTTTGCTGCTTGACTACAAGTTGTAGACATTTTCCATGCCAGGGAGGCTACAAAGCACTATATCAAATTCCTTGATGTCAGAGCTTGTGTCTTAGCTTCTTGTCTCCAGGGCACAGTCCCTCTGGCCAGTGACCAATGTGGGGAGAAAACGGGCGGCAGGCAAAATGGAGACGGGCAGTTTGCTGGGCTCCCGGGGCTCTCCCTTTCTAGGATTTCCTGTGGGGCTCTTTGCCAGCACCCCATTCCTCTTGCCCCTGTCCGCTCCCTCCCCACCCCCATCAAGCCCCTCTGAGGAAGAGCTCTGTCTGCCCCCACGAGGGCCCCTGTGGTTGGGCACAGGCTGTCCCCTTGGCCTCAGCCCCGGGGGGCCTGCTTCTCTCCTGACTCGTCTGTCTGGCCTGTTGGTTTATGATCTCTGACTTGCATCTTAGTGTGGTTTTGGTTTCCCTGGTTACCTTTCTCTGGAAGTTTTGCCTTTCAGACGGCCTCCATTGAAGAGTGAAGGACTCCATCCCAGTTAGAGGAAGGTCCTGGTCAGCCCACCCTCCCACGAGGGCTGCCGAGGGATGACCCAGTTTTGTAGACTGGTTGTTGATCTTCTGGGTGGTCAAGGACATACGGGCTCTTTCAGAGAAGCTGCAGCAGACGGGCTGTAGGTAGTGTGGGTATGACTGTCACCTGTCACTGTCCTCCAGGAATTTTGAAAGGAAGAATTTGTGTCAGAACTTGTGAAAATAATACTACTGACAAGAGCTAATACACACTCAGCACTTGGTATCTACTGGGCACCATCCCAGGCATCCCTAGGACCTGGCAAAGGTCACAGTTCCTGGGTGGGTTACTGTGGTCTCACCTCAGCCCTATGACCAGGGAACCTTTCCAGCGGAGAGTAACCTGTGTTGTCCAGCACTTTACCAAGAGGAAAATCAGAAACTTTGTTTTGTTCATTCCAAAAAATTATCAAACCTTTATTAAATACTTCTAATGTGTCAGGCCCTGTTGTATGTTCAAGGAATATAGTCACGAACAAACAGACACAAATCTCTGCTCTTGTGGCCCTTACAAGTCTATCGTCAGAAGAGACGGACAATAGGCAAAATAAATCTCAGATTATGGGCGGTCACAATAAAACTACCCCTTTTATTTCTATGTTCATCTCAGCTCTCTTGCTACTGTTTTCTTTTCTGAAGAAAACATTCATACCTTCTGGTGCTCTGAGATCTGACCAACATGCCTTGGAGGGAGCTTGACATTCATGGGCAGATTTCGCCTTTCTCTGGATCCAGGGTTCCCTTTTGTTGGTGGGAGGGGGTGCTGACAGTCAGCTGGGGTCCCCTGAAGACAGGCTGTGCCGCCTCCCCTGGAGGGATTGTTCACACCTTATATCTTTTCCAGCATCCAGACTCGGGGACGGTCGATGTGGAGATGCACAAATGGTAACTGTCTTGGAGCCACAGAGCACTTCTGCTGAGAGGGGTCTCAGAGACGATCTGCTGCAGTCTCCTTGCTTCACTGGTGGGGAGACCTGAGGGCCAGGGAGGAGGTGGCCTGCTCCTTATGAGCAGGTGGCAGAGTGGGGTCCAGAACCAGGCTCCTGCCTCCCTGTCCAGTGCTTCCAGTGCCTCCTTTGGGTGAATAAGGGAGCAAAAGTGGCCAAGGCTGAATGCAGGCTTCATGCTGTCCACCACCAGTCTCCTTGTCTGCTCAGGGGCAGTGTGCGGGGCTGGACCAGAGTCCGTCTCATTCTGCACCAGGGTCTGCTTCCCCTTCCCACTCGAGGGGTGGGGAGGAGGGTCCAGGAAGAGCTGTTTACCCCACTTCAGTGACTCCATTGCCATCGAAAGTGTGCCTTGGACTCCAGGAAGGGTAAATCCCACAACGGGAGCACGGCTGGGCCGAAGCCTGCTGTGAAATGGACCACAGCATGGAGGGAGAGGGCTGGAGGGTGACACGTGCAGTCTGATGCTTGCTTGTTTGCTTCTGCTTGTGTAGGGCTGAAAAATGGTCACAGCAGGTGTGCACGGGAGTGGTGACAGGTGAGTTCTGTGTTTTCGTGGCCAGGTTTTGGGTTGTCCTCATCCCTCCCAACACAGCAGCATTTGATCGGACGATGTACCTCACTGGCCACTTCATCACAGAGCCTGAGGAGAGGGGGAGGTGTTCTGGGGGGACAGATAAGGAGTCAGGGCATGAAAGGTCACATACCCTGAAAGGAAGGTGTGAGAAATGCCCAAAGGCCTCCAAGCAAAGAGAAGTCAGGGGGCACTGGGTTAGGTTAGGGGGCCCCAGGAGGCCAGGCGGTGGCTGGGCCGGATTCTTGAGGCTCCTTCTGCCCCAGGTCCTGGCGCCTGGATTTGTAGCATTTTGTCTCAGAAAACTGTCTACCACTCACTGTCCCCACCCCGAAGAGAAGACCCAGGTCTCATTTTCAGTCTATTTCATTTTGTAATCACTTCCTTGCTTATCAAATAAGTATATCCATTGGGGCCAGAAAAATGAAGTTAAGAAAATAAAAGTTATAATCCCACTATCCAGAAATAACCATTGTTAACATTTTGACCTTTTTTCATACAAATGTACTTATGAACATGAGATCTGTAACCTGGTTTTTTCCCTAAATACCAGAGGTTCCTGATGACTCTGTTAAGTCATTCTGGAGCCCCTGAGTCCCTTAGCACCAGCTGAATTCACATAGTGGGGTGCTAGAGTTCCCTGTCCATGGCCCACAAGTCAAGAACAAGGAAGCCACCTGTCACTAATTTGAGCAAGACAGACTGGAACACTGAAGCTCCAGAGAGCGTAATGCCGCGACACGGCTACTGACCTGCCAGGCCAGCCGAGGTATTTCACCAGGGGCCTGGGAGTGAGTAGGCTCCCCACAAAGGACAGGGATGAATAGGATACGGGTCCTGCCTCCAGTGGGGAGGTTGAGACTTGGTGTCTGACTTCCAGGATCTGATTGACAGGTGAGGGGATACTGGTGGCCACAGTGGTGGGAAGGTCCCCCTGCAAAGGGTCACAGGGTTCCTAAAGAGGAGGCCTTACTAACTTGGTAAATGTCAGCTCTGCCTGGGTTTGGCTGTTTGCCTGTAAATTACAGGAAAAAAAAAAGACGAAGTGGTGTATTTAGGGTATCTGGGAAGATGGGATGTAGTTTAAACCCTGAAACCACAAATGCAGCTGCTTCTTTGCCTGATTTCTCATTTATCTCTGTTTTTTTTCCTCTCTCACCTGGTAACAAGTCCTGACTGCCCCCCTTTTAGCACAGAGAGAGCAGGAGTCCCACCTGGCAGAGGCACAGCAGAGGCAGGGCAGTGAGGGCAGATCTCATACCTGAATCTCCTCAAAGGCAGGACTCCGGGAGCTGCTGTGAATCCGGCAGGGGGAAGGGGGAGGGGGCCAGACCAGCGGAGGAGCAGGGGGCTCCTAAGGAGACAGTGCCTCAGGGACATGCAGGCCGGTGCAGCTGGGTGGCAGGGTCACACAAAGCCCACCTGGCTCAGCCCACCTATCCTTCTATACCAGAACCTTAGACTCTTCAAATCTAGCCATACCCCCGCCCACCACAACCATTCTGCAGAGAGGTAAACAGAGTTGGGGAGGCGGGGCTGGGGGTGGTACGCTGACTTGCCCAAGGTCACATGCTCAGTGTGTGGAGGGGTGCCTGTAAACCCCCGTGGGCCAGCCCCACAGCCTCTGCCTCTGTGCTGACCCCCCTGAACCCAGAGAGAGGCAGCAAGAACAGACCAGGTCCATAGCAGCCTTAAAATAAAATGAGAGGCAGATTTTTGTGGAAAGATCCAAGGTCCTGTTTCATTGCAAAGAAGTAACACAATACAAAGACATTTACTCTGGAAAGCAATTCTCCTTCAGAGACCTCGCACCAGGCATTCAGGTTTTGTCATTTGCCCTCAGACTCTCCTGAAGTGAGGGAGGGAAAGCGTTCTTCCCCTGCCCCCTGCCCACACATACCCACACCCACCCACACACACGCACACACATATGCACACACACACTGTCCCTAGCCTTCAACTGGCCTCAGCTTCTCACCACAAATGGGGACGGGCTCCTGTGAGCTGGACAGGGCTTGGGAAAGGAAGCACATTAATTTGGGTTGAGGATGAAGACAATCGAGTCACACACACCTCAGGTGGCTGCCCAGGCTGACAAGGCTGAGGACCTGGTCTCCTGACTTCCCGCCCACTGCTGCCTGCACAGTGTCAGCTGGCTTCTGCTCCCACAAAGCCCCAGGCACTTCTGGATGGGGCACAAAGAAAGGGGATTGGGATGGGGGCAGAGGTATCCGCCTCCCACAGCACTCTCCCCACTCTGCTCTCTCCTCTCTTGAGAGCAAGACCCAAGTTAACTGCTCCTGACAGCACTATTTTTAGCAGTTCCCTGCTGTCAGCGCTGGGACGTGTGTTCCCTGGAGCTTTCCCGCCCTGCTGTCAATCCCAGGAGGACGGAGGGGGCCTGAGCCCAGGGGGCAGCCTGCCCGGTCCCTGTCCTAGCATGCTAGCATGCTTTCCCGAATGAATGGACAGCACAAGACGGTGGAGAGCTCTGGCTTCCAAGGGCTCTGGTTCAAATCCCAGCAGCTCCACTTGGCTCTGAGCCCGTGGGTAGCTTGCTTAGCTTCTCTCAACCTCAGTTTCTGCTTCATACAAGTAAGGCACTGGGCCTGACCTAGTCCTTTGCAGATGCTAGTTGTTAGCCCCCTTTTTCTTCCAGGGACCTGTTCTGAGGTTGCCCTGGCAGCCCATGGCAGGGTGTGGAAGCTGAGCCTTTGAATACAAGCAGCAACCCTGGCACCTCCCATAGAGGGGCACCAGTCTTTATAAGTGACCTCTGCTGTCAGGGCCACAGCCTCAAATACACTGTCTCTTCAGTCCTTTCAGATATCATCAGACGTTTCAGTCCCTCTCTTCCGAGGCCTGAGTATGCTGGGAAAACAGTGAGGCCTGGTGCTAGCGCTGAGTAAGTCCCCTCTCTGGCTCTTCAGGGCGTGAGCTCCTGCCAGTCTTGGACATCCAGGACAGGGCACTGGAGATGCTGGCATGGTCAAAGTGGCTTAAAAATAGAGGTGTGCTTTAAGCCAGTCAAAGGCGGCTCTTGTGCTGATTTCAGTCTGCCTGATGGGGCTAATTTCAAAAATGGGGTTAATATCTGCCCTCCTGAAGCCAGGAGTGGTGCAGTGCAGCCTCGGGCTCAGACACTGGCATCGGGGCGAGGGGCAAGCTTCCAACACTCAACAAAGTGATCTTTAACTGACTCTTCTTTCCACTCCCTCCCTCTATGCAGGGACTTACAGAATCAGGCAAAAGAACTGGTGAGGAGCATGAAAGAGAACCAGGTAAGCACCCATCTGACTCCAGCTGGGGCGGCCCATGTCTGCTGCAAGGTGATCAGGCCAAACACGCCAGGCAGGATGGCCCCAGACCGTGCCCTGAGCTCAGCAACCAGTGTGATCTGGGCACTCCGAATGCACCCTTCCTGTGGCGATTCTCTGAAGCCACCTCCTATGCTCACAATGTGGTCCTGCCAAAAGTCAGCCGATGGACTGACTGACATCTCACTGAGGGAAATGGTTGAGAGCTTGGGTTCTAGAGGGACTTGAGCACAAACCCTGAGTTTTCCACCTATTAACTGTGTGTAGTCAGGTAAGGCACTTAACCTCTCTAAGCCTTAGTTTCACCATTTATGAAATTGGGATAAAAAGAGCCTGCAGTACAGGTCTTAGGGAACATTAAATGAGGAGCTGGGTGCTCCTGGCACAGAGACAATGTTCAGTAAAAGCCTGTAGCCATCGATGTTGAAATGGAGATTGCCATTATTGTTAGTTACCGTATTTGTTTTAGTTCTCAGAAGGAGGTCTCTGGGACATACATGCTGGGGCTGTGGTACCCACCCTCCTAGCTTGGTAGCTCATGTGGGTTTGTAATCAGCAGCCTCTGACCCTCTGTGCTGTCATTATGGGCAAGCCTTCAATCACGGCAAGCTTTGCTGCCCAGCTGGATCTAACCAGGCACCGGGCCTGAACTGCTGGAACCAAGGGAAGACTCTGTCTAGGCCAGTCATTCATTCATTACAGAGTTGAGGGATTAAAGCTAGGCTGTTCCTGGTTATAAAGGGACAGGGACAAGCATAGGAACTATGCTGTACAGAAGTGGTTTTCCTCTCCCAGGAGAATTCCAGGATTTTGGAATAATCGTAACATTCTGGAAACTAGCTGGGAGGTCCTGATTCCAAACTTGTGATTTTACAGTTGAAGACACTGAAGTCCCCCGGAGGCACGTGACCTGTTCAAGTTCACACTTAGCTAGAACCAAAGGCTAATGAGCCTGATTCATACAGTCCAATGTTTCTCAAGGGCACCATGCTTGCCTCTTAAAATGACAAAACCAAAGTTGGTGTTTGTTCCACAAGTAATACATGTTCATTGTAGAAAAATCATAAAACACAGATAAAAAGAATATTAAAACCATCCTTCAACCTGATACCCAGAGAAAATTACTTTCCCTTCCGTATTTTTTCTAAGCACATATATCTCTATATATATTTTATAAAATGGCTATTACTAGATGTAGATACTTTTTATAACCTGCTATTCTCAGTATAATATTTCCCATGACAATAATTACATTTTCCAGCATCATTTTAATAACTACATAGTGTTTCATCTTCTGAGTGTTCCACAGTTTATGCAGCAGTCCCCCATTTTAGGCATTTATGTTTCCAATTTTTCATTCTTATGAACAAGGCTTCCTTATTACAGCTAAATCTTTCATATAACCATGTTTCCTTAAAATACATCTTAGGAAATGGAATTGTTGGATCAAAGGCTCTGCCCTTTAAAAAAAGTTTCTGATGGATTTTGCTAAATTGCCTTCTACAGTGGTTGCACAACTTTAGAGTCTTACCATATACTCCTACTTCTGAAAAGACCCATACATGTGATTTCATGGCAGTGGATTATGAAATTGAAAGAAGTGAAAACAAAGTTCTTTTAGTACCAGGTCTTACCACTCTCTTTCTTTGATGCGTTGCCCTTTTCTGCAGGAACTTGACTTTCAAAAGGACTGGAAGCTTATCAGTGTGTTCTTCAGTAACACAAGCCAGAGTCACCTTTGTCCCTCCGCCCAACAGGTAAACCTCTGGCTGGGAGGGGTTGCAGATGTGGAGGTGGGGAGCAGAGTAAATGAACTAAACCTAGTGATCTACAGTGTCAGGCTGGGCCTGATGGCAACTCTTTCAGAATCAGGGCAAATAGACCGATAGATAAGTAAATGGATGTACTTAGCTAAGGGCTCAAAGAACTGGGACAGGTGTTTTTAACTAACCACCCTTCATGTCACGAAAAGGAAATTGAGCTGTAGATACGTTGAGTCAATGACCATTCTGCAACTGAGGAAAATCAGCTTCCTAGTTAAAAATCATTTTGCCTCTCTTAATTCTGATTTCATTCAAGTACTGAATTTAGGGAATAAAGCAAGATGGGGTCCCCTTGTTGTTATCTCTTGGCCTGTGAACTCTAGTTGTTATGGGAAGCCTACTGTTTCTGTAGGTAGGCTGTATCTTTCAGGCTCGGTGGCATTCCTGGGAACAGAACATAAAACATGTGGCTCCATTTCTTACTTTTGTAGTTGGCTTTCTATGACCTAAGTCTTTATTGAAGATTATCCAGTTAGGATCAGTGGAAAGTGTGAAGGGGAGCTTAGATAACTAGGTTATGGTGACATAAATGGCACACAAACTCTTCTTCCCCAGTCTGAAGCCTGGGTGCCACCAAGCTGGCCCTGCCACTAACGGCAGACAAATTACCTTCCCACTGTCCTCTTGGCTACCCTGCAAGCCTGTGCCAGGCTGTGGCACAGACACAGGGGAAGTTTCTTGAGGTGCTGTGCCCTTCTCTGAGCCTTATCCCACAACATATCCTCTACCTTCCTCCAAATGCCCCATGGATTACCATCAAAGCCCCCCTTCCTTCAGTGATGGTGGGCCCTAGGGGTGTGCTGATGGAAGCTTGCTTTCCTGTCCAGCTCTGTGGAATGATATTCCCGAAGATCTCCTGGGTTTGCAACACATAGATCTTATAGCATTATTTTTCTACTTCACTCTCTGTTTTCCTCCAATGCCAAGTGAAATTTACATGCCCTGTTTATTCTCTGCCCCCCTCCCACATTTGGTCATTATGCTCAACAACATTTATTCACGAATTTACACATACATTCATTGACATGCTCAAACAAGCATTTAGGTATTGCCACATTCCTCCATATTCCCACTCATCCACCCACCTAGAAGTTATCTATTCATGCAAAAGCTCATTCTCTCCTTAAATGTAGGCACATGCTTTTGTCATTTATGATAAATTTGTTCATGCTAGCATTTTTAAAATTTTTTAAATGTTTGAATGCATTCATGATGCCTATACTCATTCATGATTTCTTCCATTCACTCTACCTTGAATTCAAGCATTCCTATGTAAGTTCTTGTAATCATTCATGTATTATGCCTTCAAGAATTCTTGACTACATGATGCATTCCTTGTGTGCATGTGTCCATTTGTGCATTAATTTTTAGTTATATAAGCAATACACAAATGCTTTCTCTTTTTAAAAAACTAAAACAATATGGTTAAGCTAAAATCACCCCCTAATCCTCTCCCTCCTTTTATTTCCAAACCTTTCACACACATATGAATCCTAATATTATTTTGCCTACATATGTATATATGTGTGTATGCATGTGTTTGTAAGTATGTGTGTGTGAGAGATCTAACATAGTGTTAGATTGTACTATTGTGCATTTTTTTCACTAACCAAGTATTTTTTGAGATTTAGTCATGCTGATATATATGGATTAAATTTATTCCTATTACTTGCCAAGTAGTATTCCATTGTATACATTTATTACATTTTATTTTGTAGTAATTCTCTATTGATGGCCATTTTGGTGTTTTTAGTGTTTCATTATTGCAAAGAATCTTCTTCATTTGCCTAAATACATGTATGGATTGAAGCATATTAGTGGGCCAAAAATCAGTTTAAAAGATTGCAACCAAAATTACAAAAAATAGAAATAGAATAAACTTCAGAATGCTAGAGTTCATCGCACATAATAAGGCAAGTGTTGGTTCATGAGGATCGTTGCTTCCTTCTCCTCATAGGTAGGTACTCTGGATGGCAGTGAGAAGCATCTCACAACGGCCAAAATAGTTTGAAGACAAGCACCTAGAGGAAATTTTTAAACATTGAATTGCCAGTCATCAGATACATACATTTTAACATTTTAACTTTTAACAGGGACTGCTTAGCTGCTCTCCAACTGAACATATTTACATTCCTCCAGAGATTGCCTATTCCTGACAGTCTTTCCAACACCAGTATCAAGCTTAATGATTTTTGTCAATATGTGAAATTTCCTCAAGATCTAGCCACATAAATACATATGGGTTGAGTTTATTCATAGTAAGAACCTCACCCTTTTAACTGGTTGCAAACATATGACAAAAGTAATCATGCCTTATTCCTAGTTCCTCAATGGCTGCAAACCCGTGACTGGAGCACCGTAGATTTAGCTCCTTTTTGTAGCAATGTTATTAGCATGCACTCAAGTTCCCTCTTCATTGCATTTTTTTTCTTCCATGTTGGTTTTCCTTTTGCACAAAGGCCACCAAGGCTTTGGAGCTAGAATAAACCCCTCCCCCACTTCCATTTCCCCCAAAGGCCCTCACGGCTCCTAGTCTGGCTCTCCTGGCCTCTGTGCCTGGGCCTGCTGGCGCTCCCCTCACTCCTCCAGTCACACCTGGGCTGCCCAGACCCCCACGCACCTCCTAATCTTCCTAGTGGGCCACAGCTCCTGCTGCAAGTTAACCCTGTGGCAGAACCCCTCCTTCTCCATCAGGGAAGCTCCTACATGGCATCTTTGCATTCCTGAAGCACATCCTAGGCACAGTCTCTCTCTCAGAGGTTGTCCTGCAAGTCCCAGGGCCCCTGGGGACCTCTGAGGACCAGGGTAAGGCTCCAGGCCTCCACCCGGCTTCACAGAGCCACTCTGCCTTCTGGAAAGAGTTCATCTGAGAAAAAGGTGTTCCCAGAAATATCAAACTCCTGTCCTGCCCACTGAGGATCTGGAATTTTCCTCCCCTAAGTGGCTTTTGAGCTCCTTTTGTGGGGAATGGACAAGGGCCTGTGTCTGCATTTGTTCTTGAGAGGTTTCTTAAGACCAAAGTCCTAAGTAAGGAAAGTGAGGAGCCTCAATTAGGCAGTGACAGCGCTTCCTCCGGGCTCCTACAGTGGGGCCAGCTGCGCAAGGGCAGATGCCTCAGTGATAACTGGTAACCTGGCTCGTGGTGGTGATGGAGATGATGTGAGGGTCTGAATTCATATTTACTGCTCTCTAGTTAAAGCCTAGTTTTATTAATGAGTAAAACTAAAACTCAGTTTGAAGAAGAGAGAAAAGTGAAGGAAAAAAACCCCCAAAGCCAGCGACACTACAAGAAAATACATACACTTTTTGTTGCAGGTGCCTCAAGAGCAGGCGTAACATTATGGAGCATATACGGGCAGTATGGTGCAAGAGACCTAACAGTGCTTGTATCTTTTGACTGAATAATCCTGCTCCTTGAGATAACCCCCAAGAAATGAGTTTATTAGAAAAGTTAAGTCTGGGGTCAGGCACATGTTTGATAATAGATCCTTCTTCTGAATCTGGGAGCAAAAGATATAAATGGAAATGTGCAAGTTCATTTGAAGAAATAAGCTTGTTCCAGACTTTGGGCTCAAGAGAGAGTTTGTTATGTGTGGCCATATAGACCAGGGACATTTTATAAGGGCATAATGACTCCCACTAAGGAACAGGAACCATTGGTGCCCCAAGTGACAGCTATTCAGTACCTGGAATGACTGGGTGGGTCCCCATTCACTTTGCAACCTTAAGAAAGGGGTTCCTAAAACAAGGTTTGCAGTTGGGAGAAACCATGCAGGGCCCCCCAGTTTCCCTAGGGAAGGGGGA